TACTCCTCCCCATTATACGTAAACTTGCATCCAGGCGGAATCTCCACATTTGCATCGAGCAGAACACAAAAGCTGGCCAGAGGAAACTTAGTGCGGAGAACATTACGAGCACGACTGATCTGCTCATAGACCTCCGCAGCTATCTCTACACAATCCTCCACATGAGGGTCTGGCAAATACGCTGACACAATAATAAGTGGTGACTTTTCTGACCCAAAGACGCCGATAACGAACCTCGTGAAACAAGTAAAGAACATGCGGACGGCAGCCGCCCAAGATCTGTCGAAGATGAGAGCTGCCTTGCTACACGAACTAGTTTTGATGCGCCACCCCAAGCGTTCAAATTCACCATGCACAAGGTATTGAGTTTCCTGACATGCAAAGAGCCCACCACATGCCCTCATATGATGGAGAATCTCAGCACATTTAAAATGAGCCTCACCTGCTTTGTTCAGGTTCCAGCTCGCCAAATGTATGCCTCTGACGAGGCGCCGCAAACGTCACTGCCTACGATTCACTTCCTGAAGTATGTCATTCATGGGGACCGTCAGCGCAGGATACATAGAAACAATACGAGCCCATGCGTCAGCATGAAGAACCCAAGCCCCTGTGGTGTTCGTATACGTCGCAAAACAGACGGGTCGGAGATTCGGAACAGCTTGAGTCCAAATCTGACTCCTCGGTGGCCCCACCTCCCCACGGATCTCGATTTGAACATGAGCCGATGTCATACTTCGCCAAGTCCCACAGAAACGAGCAACCGCTTTCACATGATCACGCTTCCAGGGTGCACACTCCACTAACGTACGAATCTTTCTGGGATCGACTGGCGTGTCCATATCTTGAACGAGAACATCGGCATTTGGATATGTATAACCTGGGGGCGGGGCAATACGATCGGCTGGTTCCTTACAGACCATATCCATACATTTCTTTATATTCTCCAAAGAGTGTCCCGTGGTGTCCCTTCTTTGAAACCGACCTTCACACTTCCGTACATATATCTTCCTCCGTTTAATCGTTCAGTTTTATCTTTGTCGTAAGCATTCCTTTCCTCCCCCTGAAGTGTTCCAATCATATTCGATATTAGCTGTGACGCATCCGCCCAGGGCATCATTTGATTTCCCCGATTTACTTGATTCGACCAATCTGTAACCCACCCTTTAAGTTCGAGGTAAGTTGGTGTAAACTGGCTCGATCGTCCTTGTTGCACGTGAGGGACCGAACCAACACCTCCACCAGAGGAGCCGCCAGGGCCCACACTAGTCGAAACCGATGCAGCAGGAGATCCAGCCAAAATTTGCTTAACCTGTTTCTCCAGGATATCTGTCCGTGCATCTGATTTGTCCATGCGCTCCGTATGCAACTTAAGTGTGTCATCAACTCTTTTGATGTCAGTCTTCGTCGATTGAACAACATGGATGAGATCCTCATGTGCATCCTCCGTTTTCCAAACATGCTTCATCATCATCTGTTTGAATGGATCCTTCTCCTGCGCTAACATCACTTTCCTCTCCTCCTCAATCTCTGGGCCACGTGCACGTTTTGATCGAATCTCACCCTCTCCCGTCATTGCGGCATCCGCCGCTGCAGCAACCTGAGTCATATATTCAAGAATATTACCGTTCAATCCGTATTTATCTAACCAGTTCTTATCGCCCTCACGTTGACGTTTGTTTGATGCTGCCTCCAGTGCCTGCAAGTCTTTCTGATCCCACGGTTGGTATTCCTCAAGGTAATCGAAGTTGACCCTATCGTCCTGGTAATCCTCAGTGGGTATGTCCAGATTCTTTTGACGACGAAACCACTCCTCAGTACTTTCACCCCAATGCTCGAGACCGATCTCTCTCCTCAAGGCCAGCTGGGCCTCGGGGCTGTCGTACGACGTTGTGTCAACAACGATCCAGCACACAAGAAACTTCCACCCATTCAATAAGAGATAATATATGCAGACGGACAATAGACAGCAGTGCGGCACACCAGAAAGTATCTCAATACCACGAAGAAGAATTCAGCGTACAATACACGAGATGTAGTGTAAGCAGACAAAAACCTCGAGGGAACCCAGGCTAGCCAGGCTCACACCCCGAGGCGAAGGCTCGCTAGAACGTCTGGAGGTTACCCAGGCAGAGACGTTCTTGAGCCGAGACGTTCTTGAGCCGGGGGACTCGTAGAGCTTCCTGACCATATATAATGTCGAAAAAAATGCAGGGAACAAAGAGTTTTTCAGGCCAAGCGATTTCAGACCTCTCGATGCAACAGCCGAACGCCCCCGATGCTTCTGGATTGTCTTCTGTACGAGCTCTGTAGCTCTTCTACAGCCCGAGTTACGTGCGTAAATCGACAGCACCTCTCAAGATGACTCGAACAATACGAATAGTTTGGCAAACCTAGCTCGAATATCAGGCCGAGCTCAGACCTCTGAATGCGACAGGCGGACGCGTCTGATGTCTCTGAATCGATTCCTGTGATTACCAGCCCTGCAGCCCCCCCTACAGCCCGAGTTAAGTGCAGAAAACCGACAGCACCTCTCAGAATGACTCGAATAATACGAATAGTTTCGCGAACCTAGTTCGGGCAGCAGACCGAGTTCCGAGCTCTGGATTCGACAGGCGGACGCGCCTGATGTCTCCAAATCGATTCCTGTGACTACCAGCACTGTAGCCCCTCTACAGCCCGAGTTAAGTACAGAAAACCGACAGCACCTCTCAAGATGACTCGAACAATACGAATAGTTTCGGGGTTCTAGATCGGGCAGCAGACCGAGTTCAGAGCTCTGGATTCAACAGACGAACGCGACTGATGATTCTGAATCGGTTCCTGTAAGTATCAGCTCTGTCGTCATATAGCTCGAGAAAAGTACAGAAAACCGAGAGCGCCTGTCAAGATGACTCGAATAATACGAATAGGCTTGCAGACCTAGCTCGGCTAGCAGACCGAGTTCAGACCTCTGGATGCAACAGACGAACGCGGCTGATCATTCTCAATCGATAAGCTGTGCTTACCAGCTCTGTAGCTGTCCTGTATCTCGAGTTAAGTCCAATATACCAAGAGCGCGTATCAAGATGACTCGAAACGGCGGATCCCGCCTGGACACTTTTTGGCAGTAAAAGGTACCCGATCGAGCTGAGATCAAGATGTCGAGCGGAAATAAGATCGAATATGACGGGAAAATGCTAGAGCTCTAACGAATGGCTCAATTTCGAGAACAAAATTTTCAACCGACTAAAAGTCAGCAAAAGGTCCGTCGAGATTTTTCTTGCACCGGAAAGCTTTCCTGGCGAGCCCCCTTGGACGCTCTCGTGAAGCTCTTCTGGGGCTTTGGGGGCTTCCCTGCAGCGCTCTTGAAGCGCTGCCAGCAACGCTTCCACGCGTGCCTGCACGCGCACAGGCACGCTGGACGCTTGCCGGAAGCTCTCCCGGACGGGCTGCGAGGTTTTACAAGTCTCTGCGGGGATTCTGGGCGGAGATGGGCTGCTGGCGGGCACCACCATCGTCCGGCTTCTAATCTAAAACCCTCTAGCTCTCAGAGAGCTCTCCGGGAATTTTTCGGCGTCAAAGTGATGTCGGTTTCTCCTAGTTGTCCGATTTGATAGCGCCCCAGACCCAGATCAAGAACACCTCGGAAAGCTTTCCTGGCGAGCCCGCGGACGCCCTCGTGAAGCACTTCTGGAGCTCTGGGGGGCCCCCGCAGCGCTTCTGAAACGATGCCTGGAGCGCAGGCACGCGTAGATGCTTGCCGGAAGCTTCCCCGGATCCGCTGCGAGGTTTTACAAGCCGCTGCGAGGATCCTGGACCGGCCTAGATGGGCTGCTGGCGGGCATCACCCGTCCGGCTTCTAATCTAAAACTCTCTAGCTCTCAGAGAGCTCTCCGGGATAAGAAAACAGGCTCTAGAGAGAGAAGCCGGTGTGGGAACAAAGTTTATGTACCAATGCTCCACGTAAAAGTCTGTTTTTCCAGAATAAATGGATTATCTCCCAAATCTTAGCAAAACCGATCCAAAGTTATACATTTTCCTTTCTGGTCGGGTCGACCAACTGGCGCCGGCGGTGAACCGTCAACCTGGTCACCGCCGGGAACCTCGTAGAGCTCATTTCACGCGTGGGAGATCTCAGAGTCGAAAGAGAAAGCTTCTCGAGGCATTTCCCGAAAAATTGAACATTGATTTTTTTCATGTCGAAGCGAAGTTGGTTCCGCCAAGTGTTTCGGTTGAAAAAGTCCGCCTAGACAGCTCAAATTAAGACGCAGAGGCTCTCATAACCTTCTTCAGGTTGGAAAAATCTGCTCTCTCAAAATAAATGGTCAAATATCTTTCAAATATTCGCAAAAAACGATCCAAAGTTATCACATTGTCCTTTCTGGTCGGGTCGACCAACTAGCTCCACCCCGCGCCGGAATTCCTCTTGCTCATCGATGCCGAAGAGCTTTCTGGTCGGGTCGACCAACCAGCTTCACCCCGCGCCGGAATTCCTCTAGCTCATCGATGCCGACTGGCGCCGGCGGTGAACCGTCAACCTGGTCTTTTGCGTCTTTTGCGAAGGCCGGTTCGAGCTCCCATGGGAGCAGGCCTAAACACAAAGAACCTAAACAGCGAAGCTGTACAGGAAGACAGCGAAGCTGCAAAGATAAAAGCAGAGGTGCATCAAACAGCGAAGCTGTACAGATATGCACAAGACTGCCAATACACTAGAATACAAAACGACAAAGATGATCAAAGAAGCTGTACAAGACAGCAAGAAGCAGTGAGAGACCATACAGTAACCACTGGTTTATACAGCGATTACCGTCTCAACACCACTGAGAAAGAACACGGAACTAAGAGAACTGAGATAGCGAGCGTGCTTTGACACCATGCCTAAGTGGAACCTGGACGTGTGAAACCATGTCTAAGTGAAACCTGGTGTCGACCAGATCAAAGGCCTACTTTGAGGCACCACGTGACAAATCACGGAAAGTCACGTTCAAAGGTCAATGAGCACTCAAATCAAGGAAGCAACACACGCGCATGCACGACAACACACAGGCATGAAGAAAGGCAACGCAATGACAAATCAAGCGTGCAGGATCAATCACATGTGCATCATCTGTGCCGTTTCCGATGCTTCTTGCCGCTCCGCGTCAATGCACTCCTGGAAGTAGAACTCTGAGGACCCCCTTGTTGCGAATCATCCTCCTCGGAACTTTCAATTCCCATTTGCAGCCTGTGTGCATGAAGAGCCTCAGTCCTACGCTGAAGCTCCTGCCTCGGGAGTCGGTGTAGCTCACGCCAAAGAGCACTGACATCGACACCGGCAAGGGCCCAGTCCCTGGCAGCTTGACACTCGTCCTCCGTCACTGCTGAACTCACAACTGCATTAGATAAACTCCCAGTCGTGGAACTCCCAGGGTGTGAAGTCATAGAATCTTTATAATGAGAAAAATGCAACTGTTCATTCCGCAACTCCTCATTCTGCAACTCCTCACCCTGCAACTCCTCATCATGCAACTCCTCTTTCAGAACACCTGGATCAACAGAAACAGAAACCACTTCCGAGTTTTTGTTGTTGTTGATAGTTACTGAAGAGCTCCAGTCAACCGCAGCATCAGACTGAACATGCGCGACCTCATCGTCAATCACCTTATTAAGAATGTCCTGCCAATCTTCATTCAGAACCGCAGGGTCAATAGAGACAGAAACCAGTATCGACTGCAGCACACCCTCCGAAGACTGCAGCACATCTCGAGGCTGCACCACATCAGGAGACTCCTCCACCTCCTTCCACACCTTAAGATCTTCCTGCCCAGCCTTCCCAAGACAATCCGACGGAGCGTCCGGAGATGAAGCGCGGCAAACTTCAGAGCTGGAATCCAAAGAAACAGTATGCTGAGAATAATGCAACTGCTCATTCAGCACCTCCTCACTCTGCAAATCCTCATTCTGCAAATCCTCGTCCTGCAACTCCTCATTCTGAACACCAGGAAGAAAAGAGACAGAACCCAGCACACCATCTGGAGACTGCACCGCATCTGGAGAACAAGCAACAGAATAGGACGACAAAGCTTTCCCACGTTCAGTTGGCCCATCGGGTTTAGCGACTCCGTCGAAAGACTCAGTCATCACATCAAGAGCCTCTAGCACACGGATCTCTGGAGATTGCACCACGGCTGGAGACTGCACCACCTCTGGAGACTGCATCCCCACTGGAACGCACCGCAGAGGATGGATGTCAAAGAGGGCTTGTCGAAACATGGCGAGTCTCAGCCTTTTCGCTCTCCGCCGCCACGACGAGGATGGGGAAGAAGAAACGGGATAGGAGATGGCATACAGAGTAGAAGTCGACGAGGTACAAAATTGCGTTGTCATGGCAACACACAGCAAGGGGTACTCACACAACAAATCTGACTCCACCCACTGCAGAGACAAGAGGTGCTCAAGCCGCCATCGCACGGCCCGCCCGCGCGCACACGGCCGCCCAGGGGGCAGCCTGAGGAGACAGGCTTGAGGAGGCCCCCGACGGACCAGGCCACCGCCGAGATCCCCGAGGAGGGACAGCGGCAACCTGGTCTGCGGTCTGCGGGGCCCGATTCGAGCCCCCTTAGGGGGCAGGGCCAGCGGTAGGATTACCTACAGGCAACCTAAGCACTAACAGCGGAGCTGTGTGATATACAAGTCAGCGTAGCTGTGCAGATATGATACAACAGCGTAGCTGCACAGGAATATACACACATCAAAGAAACAGTGGGGCTAAGCATGTATCTTACAACAGCGGAGCTGTGCAGATATAGTACACAAACAATCACCGGCCAAGCTGTACGTGTATACACATCTCGGCAATGCCATTGAGAAGCGAATGTGCAGCTGCTAACTCAGCCTGTGTGATCGTGCAGTGGCTAGGGACCATGAAACCTCTGCGGCCAACTCCAGGGTGCCATCCGCCCTGCACAAGTCCAGGGGGAAGTTGGTGAGGAGGAAGAGAGGGAACAAGATAAGCATCCATAACCCAACCACACGAAGTGCCACGTTCACACCGCCCACCGTCAAAAGCTCCTCTAAGTGCACGAACAATATAATGACCCGATCTAATATGATAAAGAATGTTATGATTCCAACGAACATCAGAAGTTACTTTACCCTCACGTGCAAGATGTGTCTCATGGTCCGCCTCATCGTTGCCCTCCCTATACACCCATTTCCACATATCCCTTCCCACTTCAGCCGTGACAAGATGATGGTCCTCACTCATTCTGTGAAGGCGGTTCTGCATACCCTTGATCGTGCGGCGATATACTTCATTGTGACAGCGATATCGTCCATTAAGCCAGCGCACAACACACTGGCTATCCCCACGGAGCTCCAAGCCATATCCACCCCCTTCCCCACGCCAAGTGGTTTCATCATCATTTATCGCGGCCAGTCGTTTCGCCACCCGTTCATTTTCCCGTCGTTGCTGCTCCTCTGACTTCTCCTCCCCCTCCTCCTCCTGCTTGAACTCACCCGTGAAGGGATCCCGAAGAAGGCAGAACTCGAGAAGATCATCCAAGTCCAGGGCGGCCAGGGTACCCACCAGGAAAGAACGCCAGCCAGTTTCATTCCAGACCATCGTACGATCCCAATGAACCCCGTGCGTGTGCTCGAAGACCTCGAACCAAGGCCTAAGTCCCGTCAAGACTCGATGACGACAGGCTCTGGTAAACCTTCGGCCCCCAGGGAGAGCTCTAACATGTACGTCACGCTGCTCAGTCCACTCCCCCGACGCGTGCATCATCGTCAAGGCGCTCTGCATACTGGCAGTGGGCAATCCTCCTTCCTCCTCCCGTGCATAGGTATGGCGTACCCGCTTACGAACAGGCTCATGTACATGTTGTGAATCATGATGCTCATGTGCTGTGTTCTCCGATATACGTCTGCGAACTGACCTATTTTCCAAGGAAGATGCGCTCTGTGCCTTTCTCCTACACGAACTGTTGAGCTGTCTGGCATTCGGGGTAGGCGAGGGAGCCGATAACTCCAAGGAACGCTGCGAACCACCAAAAATATCAGGATCTCGTGGTTCATGATAAAGAATGCCCTGACTGAGTGCGTCCTCATCCACCCGACTATGCTCCTCATGGATCGTGCTCACAACATGTTTGGCGAAGAGCCACTGGCGATGAAGGGCGAGCTGGACCATCGAAGGCTTACGGGCCCACTTCAATAAGCGACGACCACCTTTAATCCTCCTGCCCCAGTACTCTCCCCAAGACTCCGTGATCTTCTTTTTGAGACGTCTCATGGTGGACAAGAAGTTGCCTTCAGCTGCATGTATCTGTTGGAGACTACTCGAATCCAGAGTCGTACCCTCCAAACCGTACAGAAAGCAACTTCTGACCCTGCTATCATAACGCTGAAACTTACAACGAAGCGGAACCACGGGCGACGAGTAAAAAGAAATCTCACTCATAAAGACCCGCCGTGCTTTCTCCAGTCGGTGCTTAATGTCCTCATGATCCTGAAATCGTACGTCCAATAGCGTGCCAAGAACCTCCATCCTCTCCACCTGCCTCACTATCATCTCCTCCGAAGGGCCTGCGGCGCTCTGGGAAGCCCCACGAGAACGCTTCCTACCCATCTCAGCAGGCAGGAGCCCCGGCACCGGCAGGCGGATATCCTGCAATGGACCTTGGACGCCACAAGCCAAGAACTCCATCGAAGATGCTTTCCAGTTGAAACCGAAGCGATGGAGGACCCCAGTCAAGTCCTCGAGCATATGGGTCAATTCTCGCCTGGAAGCTGCTGCCAGCAAAATATTGTCTGCCCACAACCAGTGGTTGACCATAAGATTGGATGCCTCATCAGTGAGCCTGACGCCGTATCCAGACTGCCTCCAACCTGCCGTCACTGGTGCAAGCATACGGAGTGTCTGGGCAACAAATAGCAAAGGCGCCTCCAAGGAACCTGCACGTATGCAAGTATCCCACGAGATGGTCGTAGAACACTGTTGGAAGCTGATCTCTGCCGTATTACAAGCATAACTCTCAAAGACAGCATACACAAGGGCAGGATGGACATGATGGAATAAAAGCGCCTCTGCTGCACATCTCACCGTGAAATTATCAAACGCCTTTTCAATATCAGCACTTGCAAGATAAAGACTCTCCTCCTTCCCCCACACAACGCCGTGTTGAGCAAGACGTTTGAGGGGGGCCGTGACCTCATAACATTTGTGCCCCGCGATAAAGCCATATAAGTTGCAACCTGGCGGTGCAGCCTGCCGAACGCGGTGCTCTAGAAGTACACATAGACAACTGCTATACCACTTACCAAAATGAGAAAGAAGTGAAAGGGCCCGCGTTTCTTCAAAATCACGAGCCTTGGGATTCTTAGGCATCAAGCATACCAAGATCTCTCTCCAGGACTTCGGTGAAACATGTTTCTGATCATACAGCAAACGGAATAGGGTAAGTATGTGTCGGAGGGCTTCCCATGGCAATGCTTTGAGCACCGATGACGTCACCCCGTCTGCACCTGTTGCCCGTCCTTCCCTGAGTCTAGACCGTGCCTCCAGCAAGAGACCCATGTTGATCGGGTTGCGGTGGGGCTCTCCAGAGTCTCGCAGGGCCTTACACTGGTTCTTAAGCTCATCCAAGCACGCGTTGGTGTCCTGTCGGTGGGGATCGCTAGAGTACCTCAGGAGCCCATGACGCCGAAGGCCCTCAATCCACTTCTCCTGGTCACGCGTGAGGACCCCGTCCACATACATGTGCGTAATAACAGGCCTACGACGGACACCGTCACGAATACGATAAAGCTCACATGCACGATCATGACGCTTACGTACTCGACGCCACCTCCTAGCTGTCCCCTTATACTCCTCCTGGACTCTCTCGTACTCCTCCTGTCCCACGTTAGCCCCACCACATCGTGCCATCCTCCACCTCTTCCTGACCTTAAAGAACTCCTCCTTTATCAGTAAATCCTCCTCCGAATATCTGGGATAGTCTGAAACAGGCTGACCACGAGAACGGGAGATATCCAAAGTCTCACTGGCACCCTCAAGTATACTCTGTGTCATGACCTCAAAACCTACGTCCGTGTGGATCTGATTCACGAGCTCGGGCTGGCAGATCGCTCTCTCCAAGCCGGCTGTTTGCTGGAGCTCGAACCCTGGCTGAAGCTTCCAGGTCTTGAGCTGAGGCCGGCGTCGATACCTCAACTGAGCATGCTGGGCGGGCATCTCGGCACACAAGAGCTTGTGATCGCTGAACGTCCTTTCCGTCGCCTCCGACCGTGGGACCTGGGACGGCACAACCCAAGAACAAGTCACCTCTGGAGTCATCCAGGAAGCTGGGACCGCAAGATAATCATAGACGTGCTCGTATGTGCTCGAATTGTGTCTCCAAGTAGGCTGACGATTCCCAAAAGTGTTGGCTAGCTGCAACTTGAGGGCCCCCATGGTCTTCAGAAAGGCCCCCGAGTACATCTCCCTCATCCTGTTGGCTCTACTTTCGTCACCTCCACTAGACCTCCCCCTCTTACGTATAGGCCCATTCACCGCCTCCCCCGTAACCTCCACCCCATTGATCCTGTGGTGCGGGAAAACCTCCACGTTGGCGTCAGCCGAGATAACAACCTCCTCAATGTGAAATCGCTTTTTGGCCGCAGAGACATGTGCAACAAGATCCGATAACACGTCCGTATAGAGCTTGAAACTAGCGAGAAACCCTTCAGGAGAACGGCGTGCTTCACCCTGTGCACCCCGCTCAGACTCCTTATGAGGGAGATAGACAGAAACGAAGATGAGCTTGCGAAAGATCGCAATGACCCAGCGACGACCACACACAACATCGATAAGCAGATGTCTCCATACACCTCGGCACAAGATGGCAGCCCGTCTCCCCACGTTCTCCCCTTCATCTGCCGAGCGATGTATATCCCAACCCGCATCTGCAAGATCCAAGTCGTGTAAGAACTGGCTCTCTTGGAC